CATAGAAAAATCTCCAACCAAATAAGGTATTGTGAGATGAGCTACAAATACAGCAAATATGGTACATGTGCCTCTATTGAAGATGTGCTTTGAATATAGCAATCCTATCGTATACTCGGACAGTATCTTGCAACAAAACTATGTCGACACATAAAAGACGAATCATAAAGGTGACTCACATTATTTGATCCTGGCAGTGGTTTACCATTATATTTTCTAAGAATAGCTTTAGCAATTTCGTCACTGCCAAAATCTACAAAGCAGTAACCTTGTGGAATTCTAGATGAAAGAGAAAATTACACGGTCAAAGCCAGACATGTGTAGATAAAACTAAAAGGGCGATGAAGTATTTAAGGTTTGTAATGATGGACAATAGAGTATTAGTCACTTTCTATTTCTTTGCAAATAAATTGACCATTTAATTAAATTCTATTCAGAACTGACTAATGTATTAGTGGAAAGTGATGGAGAACCAACTATTGTAGATATACATATGCAACTATTGTTGAGATAAGTTGAAGTTGCAGTTGGAGGAAATGATATGACTGGCAGTTGAGCAAGGTTAGGTGGCTAGCAGTCAAGTGAGATGATGTAACTGGCAGTCAAGCAAGTTTAGGTGGCTGTCAGTCAAGCGAGGTGAGCTGGGATTAGACCGTCATGAGACAGGTTAGTTTTACCCTACTGTTAAGTTAGGTGAGGTGGCTGTCAGTGAAGCAGGCTAATCATTAAATCAAAATCATGTCTTTGCATTACAAATAGAGAAAGTGTGTGTTATTTATAGTATTGAAAATTATACAATTTCCCATCATGCTTTGCTCACCTTGTGTATTTATTTCTAATGATCTTCACATTGAGTACTTTTTCACCCACAGATGCAAAAGCTTCTATTACAAATGCTTCATCCATATAAGGCTCCAGCTTTAAAAAAATAACATAAATATAAGCAGGAATTAGAAGGCAAAAGTTTCAATTCAGATTACAATTGACTTATCAACACCCATATCATAGTAAAAAAAGAAGTAAATTTCGCTTGCATAAATTTTAGGAATCACCAAAATCAACTTTTCAAATTAAAACCAGCATATTTGATCTATCAACAATTTTGATCAAGATTGTGGTCCATTTATCGAAGAACTAATCACAAAAAACCAGTTGAGCAAGGCTAACATCGATGTGGTTTGTAACCAGTCTTATGATTGGTTGTTGACAAATGCTGAACAGGCCATGCCTCCAATTGTGCCGTGTGTTCGGGTAAACCGTTAATTATTCGTAAATGGAGTCAATTTGTGTAGTTTTCTTGATTTATTCTGCAGATATAGGTAAAATATAGGTAAGGCTTTGGCAAAATTTGAAAGAGCAACTAATATTCTTCAATCTGGTATTTTTTATAGATTTTATTTTTCATTCTGTTCGTCCGTTTCTTCCAGTTTAAAAAATGTGAGCTGGCTGGAGCCTTCATCCCTTGTCTATTTCTTACACTAGATACCAGCCGATACACCCCCCCCCCTCCCTCATTGAAAGTGTGTACAGTTGATCATAGTTCCTGGGCTCCCTGTGCTTGTACTGTAATCCTGAGGTTTGCTTGACAATACTTGATTTAAATAGACGGCGCCCTCTTGAGGACTGGACTGGACACAACCCCGTAGACTTTTTTTTTCATGTACTTGAGAATCATGAAATGTATAATATTTGTTCATAGTGTACATTTAGGAAATGGCTGTAAAAAATACTCACTCATTTTTTATAAAAAATAAAATATTTATATTTACAGCTGTTGTTGCTTCAATAACCTTAGCATATTTATTAAGATAGGGTTGTGACAGTGGCTATTCCATAATGCTATGGGCAGAAATCTGATCTTGATAGAAACAACAAGATGTTGGGGAGAACCCTGATTTTGGTGAAACAACAGAGAAGTTCTGGCAGAAAACCTTAGCATCATCGTTCGAATCGTACGTGATGAAC